TCAGCATCCCGTCGATCCTTGGCTGACGTGGGCTGCACAGTAGTGCCAGTACAGCTGCAGACAGCTACAGACTAACAGCACCGCCGTCAAAAATAAAAAAAAAAGCTGTGACCACTCAACCAGGGGTATCACCACATCGTGCAGCCTTTGTTGCCTTCTCGGCGCTACACGGCGATTCATACTGTGGAGGACTCATATTACCCCTACCAAATCAAGCTACCGGCATCGACCGATCGTGCGAAAGACCTACCTTACCACTGGGCGACCGTCGCGCGCCGCCTCGTCACCACACTCTAGCTTCAAGGGACAGGCCATGTGGGGAGTTAAGCAATTCTTCCAAAATAAGTACATGCAGCCACATTTCCAAATCGGTGGCAATCCTCCTCCTCCTCCTCCACCACCACCACCACCACCACTCCTCTTTCGGCGGCAACTGCTCGCCATCGGGCATCAGGGCAGAAACCAGGCCATGCCGGAAATCAAATGACAACACTCTCAGAGTTCGCAACAAGGTATCAAGATAAGAACAAAAGTACGACAGAAGGCCTCCTCAAAGCCCGTCTGACGACAAACTCCCTCCCATTAGGATCAAACTTGATTTGCAACGATAGGCTTAACTGTAAAATGCTAAGATACGGGACCAGAGAAAGAGACCAAAAATAGGAACTCGTGACAACAGTCGTGGATGTCTTTGTATGAAGGGTGGAGTGGAGCCTGATATCTCGAAAAGCTCGGCAGGCGGTCCTCAACACTATGGATTTTGCCGAATGCAAAGTGATGCACCGGGCCAACCCAAGAAACGAGCCTTCACATCATCTAATGAGCGGCTAGTTTTATTTGAGCCACATCCTCTCAGCCAACACCGAGGAACCCCCAGTCAGTTCCTTCAGGCTGGCTCAGAAACCGAGTGTACTTGTATTCATCATGGTCTGAAGTTGCCGGCACAGGGGTAGACTCAACGACCGGGGCCTGACTGTAGGGCTGCTGGTACTCTGGTTGGATGTATCCATGTCGTTGGTAATCGTAACGCTGCTGCTGGTGCTGCTGGTGCTGCTGGTGCTGCTGATGCTGCTGATGCTGCTGATGCTGCTGTTGCGGGTGCGGGTGCTGCGGGACGTAGTGCATGTATAGCTGCTGTACATGAGGAATGTCAGCCGACAACGTGACCGGCACGCTGGTGGCAACCACCGGGGACTGCTCATGGATGGGCACGGACGTGATCTGTACATTCTGCTGCGGGTAGTAGTTGTGATGCGGCGGCAGCGTGGTCGTGAAGGCGAAGTGCGCCTGTGGAAGAATGTGCGGCTGCTCATGTGGCGCAGAGACGGCGACCGGCGGATGATACTCCTGGTCAGAAGCAGAGTCCTCAGATGACGTGCGGCTGCTCGCGGCCGCACCATGTGTTTTCTCATGGTGTTTAGTCAATGTAGTCTTGCGGCAGAAGCTGTCGAAGGTCAGAGGCTAGCTTTCACGGCATTCATGATTTGTACGTACCTCCTTTCACAGGTAGGCTCTTGGCAGATATAGGGACGCTTCCCGGTGTGGATCCTTCGATGACGGGCCAGACTCGATGACTAGAATGGTCAGCTTTGATGCCCGGCAAGAGGGAATGATCAGCACCACGCACATCCGAGAAAGCTTTGTCGCATCCTTCATAGTCGCACGTATGGGGCTTTTCGCCAGTATGCGTCCGCTCATGTACTGTCAGGGCACTTCGCTGGATAAAACTCTTCTTGCAGTCTTCATGATTGCAGTGGTAAGGCCGCTCGTTGGTGTGGATGCGGTAGTGCCTGCAAAGATCGGATTTGCGGTTGAAGGACTAGGCATGATCGTCAGTATATTTCGTACATCCGGTTGGCTCAGGTCATGTTTGAATGTGCACGAGCCACAGGCAGAACCAAATAGATACCTTATTGCAGCGTGGCCAAGTGCAATTAAAGTCGCGTCCACTGCCGGGTGCCATGGTCGCTGCAGGACGAATGTTTGCCGCGGCGTGAAGTGTCACGGGAGATGTGGGCCGCGATAAGGTATGTGACCGCGGCGAGGGATCGACGGGGTGATAGGTAGAAGTGAGAAGGAGGTAGATTGGTGGTCAAAGCAGGGTATGGCTAAACGTATACAGGAAGACACAGGATGGCGTTGGAGACTTTGTGGGTTAGAGAGTTGGAGAGCTTGGAGGGTAAAGTTGAAGATAAAGGAAGTGAGAGAAGAAAAGCGAGGAAGGAGGTTGAGGAGGCGAATATAGCAGGAATGTCGCAGCGAATTAAGTATGAAAGTCTGCAGCGCCGCTAACAATCATGGGCGGCGAAAGGCAAACCAGTCATTTGACAGCCAAGTCGCAGACTGAATGATGAATCAAATGGGTAAGCGCAGCGAGCAGTCCAGGCCAGCAACCTTTGAGGCTGGACTATAATAAGCTGAAGGAAGAGGAAGAGGAAGAGGAGGTAAAGTAATAGTCTCAGTTGTAGTAGGGGTGGTGGTGGTGGTGATGGTGGCCGAGTCCAGAGTAGCCGATAATAATAACAATAATAATAGTACGAGCCGTGTCCCTTTCGTATTAGAAACAACGGATCTAATGATAATTATTATCGATGACAACAGCAACCACAGAAGCGATCTCCTTGACAGAGCCCTTCCAAAAAGGCTCTTGGATTTGGACGATGTTGCAACGCGATGGTGGTACAAGGGCAGCTGCTGCAATTCTTGAATTCTGTTCTCGCCAGGTACAAGCGGACCGGCCCAGGGTGGAGGAGGGAGTGGAGTGGGGATAATTTGAAAGAGGAGCCCTGGTTGACTGGAGAGAGGCAAAGCCAGATGATAAAAAAGTAAAAGAGAGATCTGAGGTTGGGAGTCAAGAGCAAGAAATACTCTACGTAGAAAGGAGCAGCTGCACGAAGGAAAGGAAAGGAAAGGAGCTGACAGTCTGTCAGTTCCCTACAAGTACAAGCAGAACAACAACATTAGAGAGAGCTTGGCTTAGTAGTAAAGTAGTAAGTTAGCATTTAGTTAGTTTAGTTGATTTAGTTAGTGAGAGTAACTTAGTAGTCTGTTTAATATTTTATTTTTCTCCATCTAATTTATTTAGTCTTATTATTATTTCATCTCAGTCGATTTTATTTTTCATCTGTCTCTCTCTCTCTCTCTCCCACCCCCTCCCCTTCTGCATTTAATTTAGCTCAGAATTATTATTATTATTTTTTTCTTGGGGAAAGAAAAAAGAGGAAAAAAAGAAAAAAACTCTCGCGAATGCTCATGTTTCGCCTCCCCATCTCTTCGATTCTCGCCGCGTATTTTAACGCCGCATACCTCACTCACGGTACCTGGGAGGTACCTAGTCACTAGGCTTGTTGATTACATATCCATCGGTTCCCACCAGGGAACCCCCAATAAGAACCCCAATGAAAGTAACTTAGAATAGCTAGTAGCTCCGTTGGATCGACTGTCTCTCATACTTCCACCCGACCCAAGACTCCAATGAAGAAGATCGAGAGATAGCTTCGGGGGAGGTAGAGGGATTCTGCAGAAGAGCGCCAGTCAGAGAATAATAATAATAAAACAACTTGAAAACATCAACCCAATAAGTGCTCCCAACTAGCAAGGCAACGACGACCTGATTAGTCTGAAAAGCCCATACCTTATGATCGAAGTACAGAGTACTTCGTACAGACATGCAGATACTGTACCCACGGAGTACATTCCCACACCTATACACACCGAACAACGCAGGTAAGCCGTGGGGTGGGCTGTCTTCTTATGCCCACCAAGCAGTGGGCACTTTAATTTAGGAAATCCCCCTAAAATGACAGGCCGAGGAGGCGTCCACTGGGGCCCGCTGTCGCGATGCCTGGGGTAAATCACTTGCCTAAGCTGAGGTCGCTGGGAGACCCAACCTTTGAGACTAGGGGCAAAGGCAGGCTGAGTGAGTATGTGGGTGAGGTCTGTATCTGCCGTAGATTAATATTATTATTATCACTTACAAGAGCGGTTTTGCGACGAGTGCAGCAGGAACGAACACATGTCCTAGATCATTTGTGGGATAGCGACCAAGACCACGTAAGAATTGACAGAGTGCCTACGTAGTTGCTTTCTTTCTTTCTGCACCCTCAACCTACAGAACGGTCTTTCTCCAACCAGGACTAGGTTGATTTTGGGAATTGGGTGGAAAGAGAAGACCAGGACTCAGGGAGGGACTCAAGGAGAGACCGCGTGAGTGAGAGAGAGAGGGGAACACCAAAATCCCCACCGGATCCGCCTGTGCCTTAGAATGCTGAGAGGCTAGTATATAGACTCGACCAATAAACACGCCTAAGACCGCAGGCTGGCCTTGGAACAAACCCACTAGTCTGCAGATGGTTTAGCAGCCTGCATTCGAAGATGCAATCTGGACTTCAGCACTAGTATCAGATACTGTATCCCGACACTAGTAATTGGAGTCGTCGACCGCGTCTAGTAACTACGTAACATTACTTATCGATATGTAATGCTTTCCATACTTTACTTACTTACGGAGTACGTACATACTTGCTTCGCTCTGTAGTTGACATTTGCTGGATATGAATAATCTCCAGATCGCAGACTTCCAACAACCCAGACAAACGTGCTCTGGCAGTCTCGGTAGATCCCTGCACAGATCAATGGCAGATGTGAAAAACAATGGCATCCATTTTCAATAGGACTGAGGGGTTCATCGTATAACTGCAGACAATAAATGGGAGCTGGAGAAGTATCACAGCATACCTACTCACTCCAATACAGCCAGCAGTAAGTCGGGGTACAGACCGCCCCGTACCACATTACATTGGTATGCTTAGGGGGTGGTGGACCAACAACAAGCTAGGCCAAGGTGGCTCTGGAACCTGTGTACTGTACCAACTTAGACACACCACGTTACTTTCCACTCGCTGACATCAAATAACCCGTACTCCTCTGGTCCTCGTTCAATCCTGGCGGTAACTTAATAATGATACTACGCACTCCGTACATAGTAAGTTACCAAGTATGTAAGTTAATTCATCTAAACTGGTGCCAGACCATCCACACCCAAACCAAGGTCCATCGACTGCTAATCTCTGTCCCCGCGATCGAGCTGGAGTTAAATTCCATGAATGGCACTTTCGGCAGCCTACCTGTCTGGTTCTCGAGCGGAACTGACCGCCAGCAGCGCGTACCGAACAGGAAGCGACACGGGGAACAGCCGAAAGAGGGAAACGGCTGCCATAGTAAGACTTAATGACAGACCAGGCAACACCAGCCGGGAAATTATCAGCAAGGGATAAGTTAAATGTTAGCAGGCGATGCAACAATCCTCTTTCCCCCTCCCTGCCTCTGGCCAAGTATGGGGAACATTTGAAGCTAGTCCAGAGCAGCCCTCTCCCTCGAGGGATTGGTAAGGTATCAATCAATCAATCATCCATCCATCCATCCATCCATCGATTTCATCGGATGAGAGAACCGGGAGGTGGGCCACGGTTCTTCCTACGATGCCGCCCTGGTTCCTCGGTCCGGATTACTAGTATCCCCAATAACTGCTACTTGGCCCGAATAGGCAGTAGTTGTCATCGGTACTGGGATGATTCACCGTCCACCAAGAATGAACAGATGATATCTTTGGCGATGACTATTGGCTCTGTCGTAAATCTTGGGATAGGGGGGACAATCGCAAACGAGAACGCCACGGCTTACCACCGCGGCTCTAATGATGTGCTAATTCGAGGCCGTCCAGGTGAAACGCCAATGATCCTCTAACTCCGATCAGTATCATCGCATCGCATCGCATCACATCATAGGGGAGGACTTATCGTCGGTCGAGGGAGATTCCGGAGGTGCCATTTCCCCACGTGGCGGGCTTCCAAAACCATCTGCCCCCCCTCCCCGCGACGCGAGCTCCTGTGAGGACCTTGTAGTTACGGGATACTGGAGCTTTCTGATTGCTCTATGAGTCAGTCAATAGAATAGCTCGACTGACAAGCTGACAGCCTGAGTTGACCCTCCCCCACCCCTCCCAAAACAAGGGAGCAAGGACCACCTAGCAGCGGGTTGGTACAAGCTCTCATGCTCTCTCCATGCCCTAGTCGACCACCCCCTTCCCCCCGTCCCCCCGTCCCCCTTCCTTCCGCCCGTTCCACCGTGGCTATTCATCTCGGTCTGATAAGCGGAAATAAGCTATACTTACACCCGAGGCGATTCAATAGCTATGCGTCGTCGTCTGTTGACGATATTGCCATTTGCAGCAGAGTGACCAGCAACGAGGCGTAACATGTGGCTTGCAGGCGCGTAGCTCTCTGTTTGTGGAGCTTGCGTGTTCCCTCTTTCTCTCGCACACACATCCTCTAATTTTATCTCGTCATGATCAAGCAAACCTTTTTCGATGAGCGTGGACGAAATCCACATGGTCCAGACAGATCTGACGTTTTATCCACATCCACGATTGAATGAACGAATTGACCAGTGTAATGAGTTATGACTTGTGAGGCTTTTTGGGCGAGTAGGGGGGGGGGGGGGGGGAAATTGGAGATTGGTTTCTAGGTAAGATAGTTCAGCTCCGACACTCTAAGTTAGTGGATCCTTCGTTCATCCTCCTCCACGCCTCTTCCCCCCGTCCAGCCCTCACCCCAATAATGACAGCGGGTTATATCAAGGGATGATGGGCCGACGATGAAACAAAGACCGACCATCACCGCCGCGCGCCTTGCTATGTATTCCTGAAGTAGGAGTCTAGTAGCGAACCGCCCACTTTCCCTCGCTGACTTAAGGTTTGGCCATTCATGGGTGTGGGGGCCCCGGGGGGGGGAGGGGGAAAGAGAGAAGATGGAGCCAAGGGGAAAATCCCCTCTCTATCGAAACCTATCTGGTCACCTCGAGAGCTGGTATGCATGTACAGCCAACCTAAACTGATAAAGGAATCCACTTCGACAATCCAGATTACTCCCTGAGCCGAGGATGGGTCAGTTCTGTCAGTATTCACAGAATCCACCGCACTACATCCACAATCACAATCACAGATTCAAATCTGCAACGCACTGAACCCGATCGTCATCCGCTGGATAGATAAAGTTTTTCCATCTACTTCGTTGGGTTTAGCAAATAACTGCCTGCAGTCGTCAACATCCCATCCCTTTTATTGATTCGGCCTACTGCGTGCCGACTGGTAAATCGTCGTACTAGTGCTATCTCTTCTCTCACGGGGAGAGGGTTGCATGATCGGACAAACTGTCAAATGTCGCCGACGGAGAGTTTTGTTCTTGTCTTCCCGCCCCCCCTGGTCCACTAGTGCTACTAGTAGGTGATTGTCGGCTGTGTTGAAGTATATATCGACTATCCAATTGCAAGGGGTTTCTGGGTTCTACATTCGACAGCGGGTTTAGAAAGGTATGCTGGTTTTTGCCAACATAGCTCCCACTCCGTAGTAACTTACAGGTACACATACTTCGACATCCCTGGGGTTACTAATAATAAGATCACAGAGCAAAGCTAGGATGCCGACTAAACAACGGAGTGGTGACTGACTCAACGGGCAAACTTGCGATCGTGAGCGGGAATAGATTAAGTATCCCTCGTATTCATCCCCGGCGGGCATGGCATGAGGTATTCGGTTGGATACCATCGAACGAAATGAGCTCCCGACCTCGCTAGGTTACTACCTAGTTAGATGATAACCCATATCACCAAGTCCTATAAGGGCCCATTAACCTCACTTTGACATGGAAACGAGGAAACCAGCAAGCGAGATCATCCGTGAAGGGTTGGTTGTGTCTACCTACCATCCCCAAGGTGGCTAGCGCGTAACTCCGGCGGAGGACATGGACGGGCTCCAGGAGTAAGACATCCCATCCCATCCTTCGCGAGCGGCGTCGAGTCATCACTAGTTACTGTCAAGGTAAGTTGGCACTCTACTTGTGGTGGCGCCTTCAATGTCATCGGCTCTGACGGGAGAGGATACTAGTCGAGTCACGCCAGAGCTTGGCTTCGTCTGTCGTCCATCCATTGGACCAATTGACGCGCCACGAACGAGACCTCAGAAGGCTGGCTTACCTAGTAGTACCCTAGTTATATCGCCCACAACTATCACCCTTACAGCTATAGTTCCATGTGTCATGGCCCCGGATTTTCCCTCTGAACTTGAGTAAACTCCGGGACTTGGATTTATAATCACTTTCATCGTTCTTGGCTGGGGGGGGTAGGAGGTATATCAGACAATCTACGCGAGACTTGGTAGTGAGAAGTGAGAGTGGGCGTGAGCTTAACACAAGTGAACTAAGACCAAAACCTCCGTGACTTTCCTCCTAAGAAAAGAAATACATAATCAAGAGGGCCTTAGCCGACGCAGCTGGTGTCCTCATCTGGTACTACACTCGGTAGACGCAGTTGAAATTTATCCAGAGGTACAGGATGGAGTACATAGCAACTTTTCTCTGGACAGCGAGATCTACAAGTAACTGTGTCCAGTAGTTACGTAGCGGGTACAAAATGGATAGGATACATTTTAGCCTCTACCCTAACCTCAATGTCAGCTTAGCTTTCTAAGTTCGAACGATGTGCCGCGGTAACAGTACTACTACTCTCCGTAAAAAAAAAAGTGATCCGCATATCGCAAGCCCATATACTCCGTACAGAAGAACAAGAGATACGAGTAACGAGTACTCAAGAACGACTCCGCCTCTTCTTCCCCGTCCCCCCCCCCCCCCCCCCACCCACCGCCCATCTCCTTCCTGACATAGGGTTATCCAGTCCCGAGTGCCACAGTTACAATGCATGCAGTGTGGCAGCTCTGTCTCTCCCCTCCTCTCCTCTCCTCTCTCTCCGCCAAACCTTGCTGAGAGTGTCCGTCAATAAGAAGCGCGGAACTTCATACACGCCCGCTGCAGGCCACGGTGACGCCGGGTCTGCCGATCTTCTAAAGCTCACACGGGACGAACGTAAAAATTGTCTCAAACATTAGTTAGTTACCCGGTACGTTTTACTAATAGCTGCAGCAGATAGACCGTTCGAAGCTAGGTAACTTGGTGAGGCTGACTACCTCTGTTTTAAGTTGTTTGGTTTGCTGGGATATTATTCCTACCAGATGGTTAGGGAAAGAGGGTGGGGGGTGGGGGCAGTAGGTAGGAGACACCATTCTTGGCGATTTTCTATTTTTCTTTTCTTTTTTTTTTCTTTCGCCTAACCTTATTTCACTTATATCCATCTTTCCCGAGATAAGGAGGGGAGCAACGATAGCAGTGGAACAAACATGGTGATTCTATGCTCTGCAATGGTGCAAAGCAGTCAGTATCAATCAGACTAGGTAGACGAGGTGAGCTTCGAATGACACAAGAGCGGTACGGGAAGCAAGCAGAATTAAAAATACGAGTAGATAGTTCTGGGAAGGGAAGAGAAGTTTCCCTCCCCTTTGGGATATGACAGGTTGATGGATCGAATTCTGCTTGGTCGCGCGCGCCTTATTCCTGTCGTCTGTCAGAAAGGGCGGCGGTTTCATACGCATCTCACCCGGATGGCACGACAAAGAGGGAGGGGGAAGGCGTAGCGTAGCTGGCTACTGTCTATCTGGACGGCAGGGATTGCAGAACAGTTGTAGCATGGTTCGGTCGATGGGCGAGAAAGAGACGGATTGTCGACAACAGGGGCGTAGGTTTTGACTACAGCTACTCCGGACAGACTCACCAGTCAATAGCTACTGGGTACACAAAACTCCTGACGTGTTATGTCCAAGGGGGGAAGGAAACAATGACGTCGTTCAGCTGACAGCTTAAGGTAAGGTATACTAAGCAGTGAACTAGGTAAGTTAGTCACTTATCAATTAGTGGTTAACCTAGTAGCCTAGTCACTGCTAGCAGGTCGTAAGCGCTTCCGGCACCAAAACCCAGGTACCAGGTCGCTGGTTCCCAGTCTACCCTGTGTTGTGCTCTTTACCCGTCGCAGGCGAGAGTCATCATGTGTGTGTGTGCAGGTGTGTGCGTGTGTGTGTTTTCTTACCTACCACTAACCATCTGCGTGCTGCTAAGTTACCGCCCTCTTGTCTCTTTCGGAAGCTGTCCGTCCCCTTCGGAAATTGCAGGTTAATCCCGCGAGGCGAAGATAGGTAAGGTACTGTTACCTTCCCATCCCTGCCGCCCCTCCAGATGCATGAGTTAGCCGAAGTCAACATGGAGAGAAGGAAGGGGGGGGGGGGGGGGGGAGAAGGAGGAGTGAGTTGGTGTCGAATTGCCCAGTAAGATTCGTGATTGTTACTAGTCCCGATCAGGGAATTGGGAGGTTCAAAATGAAGAGAGGGTTGCGATGCAGGACCGAATAACGGCGGTGGGCGGGAGAGCGGGTAAATGACACTAACCCCACTCCAGTAATTTTCATGGTTGTGCAAACTAGTTCGGACTATTTAGTACAGGCGAGTTGTTGCTGAGATATGATCCTGGATCCCAGCCTCGTCGTCGTATGGCCGAGAAGTTATTGGAAGCGGGTGAGACCGTGACTGAGAGGAAAATTGGATTACAAAAATAGACTAACTAGCGACTAGTGGTTACTGGTTAGACTGGCCAGGGGACATCCATCCCACTGCATCCCCCCCCCCTCGTCTCCGGAGATAACTTATTTGCTTACCAGGGCCTCAACCTCAAACAGCATCGCTTATTGGCTGGCTCTTCAGCCGGGGTTCAGATTGACAGAGAGGGGTGTAGGTGGATTTATGCACAACTTCACTGGTATTACCTCAACCATGGATAACTGATGATAACTGATACTGAGGTTCCTAGCTATATAGTACTATGCACATACTATTTGAGAATCGGTCTACCTAAGCTTCGTAGACTGACTGGCTGAGATACCTTTTTTTTCATGCTCTCTCCAGATCAAATGCGAGTCTGCCTTGAAACTTCCTTAATTGTCATCAGCACATGCCAGTAGTTACCTAGTATTCATTGGTTAGATGGGCTTTCAATGCGTGACGGGTCAATCAATACCCCGCATTTCCCGGAAGGCTTCCTTTTTTTTTTTTTTTACTCTGGTGCGCGATGGGCGAAAGACAATTGAGACTATTGCTGTTGGAGAAGGAAAAAATAGCGAGAAAAACCACCACCCATGTGACAAGAAAAGTAAAACGGGGAGATGAGGAGATGGGTGGCCAGTCGTGGATGAAAACAGCGAAGGTGCAATCGATTTGGGAGAAAGCTGAGGAGAGTGGCTTCTGGCCTGAGGCTAGGCGAAAAGATGCTGACCGGTTTCTCTGCTTTGCATTGCTGCCCATCAGCCCCAATTCAAGCCAAGGCGTCGAAATGGTATGCGTCTCATGATGTTGTTAGCTCTCTGGATTCCAGGCTACAGTATCCGTATCTACCGCATAGTCTACTCTTTTCCCAGAGAGAGACTAGCCATACAAACTCCACCCATCATGGTGTCCCCACTACGCATACTTTCTACCTACTGCCTGAATAGTAGCTATTCTATACATGTCATTTATTGTTTATTGGACATGTGCGTATGACTCGCAGCAGTCTCCAGCAAAGGTGGTTCTGGCCGCTCCTCGGAACCAAATTCCAGCCCATAGTATAGCGTGGTTATCTCGCTCGCCTGCCTCGGGTCGAATATCGATGCCTTAATCGTCGGATACTAATGCAGCTCCCAAGACAGATCTGGGTCTCCTGCCCTCGAATGGAGGCATGTATGCATGTACGAGTAACCACCTATGTAGTGGAAGAAAGATGCATGAGTTATCTCCGCTTTCGTCCCCATCCATCGGTGGCTTACTGACCCGAGAGACAAGACTGCAAGACCTCAAGACCTTAGGACTCAAGACTATTGATTCGCATTTGGTGTCAACTTGCATAGGATCCGAAGCCGCGTTAGACTGAGCAGCCGCGGTCGCCTTCCGGATGATGCTAGACATGCAGTACATGTGTGTGGCGCGCATCGGACGAGTGATGGCCCCTAATGGCTAGTACCCAGGAAATAAATTTCCGATTTGCATGTTGGATGAAACGCCCTGTCGATGCGAGCTACTCGAGTACAGTACACTGTGCCGGTGTGGCCACGCACCGTTGTGCTTCAATCTTGGACCAAACGGCTTCTCTCGGCCCGGCTGGCTCAGGGAAGAAGGGAAATTAGAAGAGCAAACTGGAACGTCCACGGTATTTGCGATCTCGAATGGCGACCGCAATCGAGCGAATGAGAAACAACTGTGATCTCGATTAATCTACCAATGCATAAAACATGGGATAATTGGCAAATGCCTAGGAGTAGCTGGCTAGCTAGCCTTATGGCGGCCAAGAGCGCGTTTTGGAGATGTGATTGGCCTCTGATGGACCATCCAGAACCTTTTTTTTTGGTTCTCTTTAGGCGGTTCCCACCACCAGCGCCACGGCGAATCACCAAGGGACTAAGGGGCATAGGAGGTTCACCGGTGATCTAGCATCGTCGTGGAACTTTGGGGGGGGGGGGGGTCTCATCATGCTGGTCGTGATCGGGAATCAATCTGAAGTGTCGGTGAGTCTCCGTCAATCACACGGAGCCGTTTCCGCTCGGTAGGAATTGTCTGCGATATTCAAATCTCATCTGTGCCTCCTCAAAGACCGCTCCCGTTCGGCGTTGGCGACTCTTAGCAGACCCCGGATAAGGCGTGGGGAGGGAGGGGGCAAGAAAGCGACAGAAGGATAGGAGGATCTTTTTTCTTTTTCTCTTTTCCTCTTTTTTTTTTTTTTTTT